ACGTTTACTTCTGACCCAACGATATTACTCATAAAAGGACCTTGTCTCATGAAAGCACCAGCTACAGACCGGTGGCGTTGTTTCTTTGCAAAACTTAGCAAAGTTTTGCCCAGTTTTTGGCTCTTAATGAACCTGTGACGATAGCTAGGTTCTATCAGAAACAGAAATGGCCTGAAGTTGGCCGTCAGTTGGGACAGAAGTGAAAGCTCTTAACTTTGAACGAGCAATTGTTTTATTATGGATATTCAAATTTCTATGTTTTGTTTACATCGAAAACATAATTATATGATACAAAATAAATATTCAAACTAATTTCATAATATGTAATTTATATACATTCTCCATATAACATGAAGAGCCTATAAGTGAACACAACGGTCACTATATATTCGTGTCACTCATAGCTTCTTAACTAACTGAGATATTTCTTCGAGTACGAAGCAATAATATAAACAAGTTGCCTATGGTATAAAGATGTCGTATTTTTGTTTGGTTTACACGTATGCAAAAAAATTGTTTATCGTATCTAAGTCTTATATTATAGTTTACATATACAAATTAACAAAAATTTAGCTTATAAAAGCTTGTGTATTAAAAAAAATTAAAAGGAACAAAAAAGCTTCGGATGAATCAACTTCTTTCCAATATTCAGTCTTTTTTTAACAAAAAATCCACATAGCAGAGTAATAAATAATGAAAATAATATGAATACAAACTAACATTTGAATACATATATTTAACGTAAAATAATAGAAGAGAGAGTGTTAGTTCAAATGGTTATCTCCGCATCTGCGCTCACACCAGTGTTCACGTCAGCATAAAATGTATGTTAATGATATCACGTATGCATTTAATGGACGCGATCACAAGTATTACGCTCACATCGACTTTATACGGCTAAATAAATGAAAAGAAACAACAATATGCTTTGTTTAAATAAAAACAGTCTCTTTGCTATAGGATAACATTATACTGCGATGTAAATATATTTGAAATTTAGGTATTTCACATGAAAAATTACATCTAGAATAGTGAACTGTGAGTATATACAAAAAATTCTCCATACCTCAGAGTTTTGGAAATTTGATTATAACACATTAGTGCATAACACGGGTAAATTTATTAGCGTACTGTGAACCTTTTAAATGCACTTTGTCCCATATTTGTAACGTGAAAAACAAAATCGCTTAGTAACAATCAATTAATCACATTTCTGGTTCTTAATATAATAACAGCCTGGAAGTGTATTGATATTTAAATTTTCAATAATTTCATTTTGATTGAATATTGCAAGTAATCAGGCACCTGTTATGGATATTCTCAACACGTCTGAAGCTAAATGGTTCTTCCACATAATCAGTACTAACCTGGTTTAACCATACATTTCATTCCGAGAGCATATTTCTTAACATTTTTTTTCTTATTTTAAAAAATAAACAGTTCCCTTACAATAATCTTCGTCACCGCTTACCAAGTGATAAATCAGCACTTAAATTAACAATTTCATCCTTGATGCTTGATGAACACACTTCAGTGCCTGTCATAAATGCTGAAAAGTGGACGTTGCAAGTTTGGGACTGAATCATAAAAAGTAAAAGTAAAGTAACAGCCTATACATGTCCCACGGCTGGGCAAAGGCCTCCTCTATACAGAGGGTATCAGGGTCATATCATAGTCCACCACGCGGCCCCACTGCGGATTGGCGGACTTCATATATCTTCGAAATATTATCTTTTTTTTTGTTATTATTTCGAAAATATGCAGGTTTCCTCACAATATTTTCATTTTGTTAAAAACTTCAATGGTGCCGGCACCGGGGATTGAACTCAGGTTGCTCGAGTATATTGAATTAAAGGCGAGCTCCCGGACACTGAGCTATCACGGCTCTTATCTAAGTCATAAATTTAAACAAAAGTAATCCGCAAATTATTTGATTGTATTTACGTAAGAGTTACGTTAGTAAAATTAGAAACAAGAAATGGTAAAGTTCTGAATTACCATTCTGAATTACCAATAGCAGGAAAAGACGAAGAAAGAATATTTATCGAGTTTACTTCAAGACAATAAAGCTTACGGCGTAGGAAGGACGATGATAAACAGTTTGCCGCATTGTTAATTACATTAGAAATGTTATTTATGTGCAGCGAACGTGTTTCGGTGTCGCTCGGGAGGTTTGTGTAATTAACTGTACGTTTGTGAACCTAATTATTTAGATATCTCTCAATTTTTTATGATGTACTAGTTGCCGCCCGCGACTACGTCTGCGTAGAATAGAGTGAAGTGAGTAACATTGAAACAAAAAGAGATCTCTTTATATACCACATTCATGGTTTTGTCTTTTGCGGCTAATATGTATAAATTGTCCGTATCGTATACCCGCCAGCACGCCATATACAATTGGCCCTGGGGAAAATTTTTGAGATCTTTGGTCAACACCAGCTGTCAATGGTCAAGGTCCGTCCGGGGTAGTACCAGGGCCTCACAGAAGACCGGCGGGAAATGGAAGTGTTATACATAATGGAAGTCACTTTATTAGGTAGCAACGCCAACGCAACCGCACTGGAGTTGCAGATATCCATGGGTGGCAGTAATCGCTCAACATCAGAATCGCCAGCTCGCTTACCAACTTCTCACATAAAAAATGCTACACCCAGTCAGAATCTCAGCTTCAATATTTCCCTTTGTAGGGAAGTTAATTTAAGAAACTGAAATGGACCCGCCATTGTACAATTCTGGTGGAGTAAGGTTTTTAGACGGAAGACCCTCTTTGAGCGTGTTTTTTTGCGCTGGAAGGCCTTCTCTAAGATGCTCGCAGTACCGAATAATAATACCAGCGCAAATGACATTAAATTCGATAATATCCGAAAGAACGATAAAGTACACACTTACAGGCTTATGACAGACAGTAACCGTAAATTATTACTACCAGGTTTATGCACACCATCATTTTACATTTTATGTTGTTTCATAAAACATCTGTATAAGAATTTGGGCACGGTAAGGATGATAATATTAATTTACGAACATCTGCAGTAACATGCGATGTATGGGATCTATGATGACATATTATAGGCTAGTGACAGAAGCCATTAATAGATATTCACACCAGCATTGGGGATGCAGATGCATTGCTGATCTTTAAGACGGTGGGAGAGCGGAGGCCCGAACTCACCGGGCAAAATGTCAATGAATTAATAATACTTCCAAACATCAAATCCAAACTTTCAGGTACTTAAGGGTCCTGAATGGCCAGACTTCAATCGAACTATCGTAAGTTTCTATAGAAAATGTCCTTTTATCCCTGTTTTCAGGGAATGAAAAATATCATTCGAATAAAATTAAAAATGAATTCATAAAAAAAATGTTATAATAACTCGGTCAGGAAATCGGGCAGCCCCAAAACAGACGACCGCGATTCGAATCACGATCATTTACACACTAATTTTTTGTTACTTTTTTTTCTATACCAGATCTTTGTTTTTTATTTTTTTTTTCCAAAATATATCACCAGAAAAACCGAGCAAAGCCCGGCATGTACAATTTATTATAACGCCTTACATTGTTTTAAAAAAATATCGCTGACTCTTTTTAATGGAACATCTGTTTTGATACGTCTTTTTGCCAAATTCCAAACTGCTTATTGAACTAATTAGAGTGGCATCGTTATCACGGAGTGTTAGCTCTATCCGAACAGCTCGGATATTTCACTAAGTCCCTCTTATAGCAAGTGTCACTTAATTAACCGGAAAGTGTTGCTTTCAGATTATTCGACACTGGCAATATTAGACTGAGTGGCCGTATACGTTGATGACACACTGTTATAAATAATATCCTAATTGAGACTTCAAGTTACCGTATACAATGAATAGTACATTGTATACGGTAATGTTACATTAACTTAGATTGACAAACTTACCTACATAAAAAATATGAGTAAAGAGGTGATGGTTTAATAAATTTAAAGTATATTTTTATGTATTCGCAGTTGTTACCAACATTCATGTAGTGTTTTGTACACTAAAAGGGATTCTCAAATTTTCCCAATATTCGTCTGTAAGTTGGATATTATTTCGTAGAAGTGGAACATTTTTCATATTGAAAGTCAAAAATGTTCCACTTGCTCTCATAAACGTCGCGTTGGGGCAATTCTCTACAGTAAAAAAAAAACAAACGGAAAATTATACATGTTTACATTCGTTTATTAAATGCATTTAAAAATCACTTATTTATTGGCATATAACATTATTTTATTTTTAACAGAAGAGTCTCGTTTAAAATACAAAAGTGCATAGGTCTCTTGGATCAATCAAGGTAGAATCAATCTACTACACGTCCTTTTCTTGGGGCTCTCTAATGATTATTGGTCTCATCACATTGTATTAACATGAAAAAAAAAATAATACCCATACGTTTTAGCTCTCAGGGCCTAAGTTCGAACTATGTTACGTGAGATCAAATGAAATTTAAGGTAGCACCTGCAACTAAGGCACTTACCACAGCTTAAATGTCGGATAAATCTCGTCAACGGATCGAGAAAATTATCACATTCCATTATATTACATGACACAATATATACATGTTATAAAATGAATATTCAAATTATTGGTTTACATCCACTTTCTTAACTGTTCCGGTACTTGTTTCCGTATCATTCGATGACCCAGAATTTGAATGTTCTAGTTTGCTTCCTGCATCGCTTTTTATATTATCGCTTTTGCCAATTTTCAGCCCTTTGTTTAAAATTACTTTAGGTTTGATTGTTCTTTTTTGTTTAACTTTTATGGCTTTTTCCAGTGGTTGGTTTATACTTTCACTTCGTTGCTGCAGCTTATTTAATCCAAAATTAGGTTTTATTTGAGCTGTTCGTTCTGTGTCATTAATATCTGGTAAACATAAATCAGATACACAAATATAATTGTCTTTAATCTCATGCGCATCGTGCTCTGGACTTAATTTCACTGAAATAATTTCAAGTTTCTTCTCAAAAATTGTTTCAGGACCTTTAGAATCCAGAATAACTGTACTGGTTGGTGACTCCACCCCTCCTACTAGCTCTTGAATAAGTTTATCTTCGGATATGTCTTCGAGGAAATCATCATCTACATCCTCGTCGATGTCGTCTGAACAAATTGATGAATAGGACGTAACTGACCCTGTCGTATGTGAGTGAAAGTCATCTGGTAACTTCACTCGTGGTATGTTTGTTGACATGTCAACATGACTAGGTGAAGGCTGTATGACAATTTTTAAATCAGGTGTAGGTGTGTCACTAGAAGCTATTATTACTTTAGGGTATTCCCTTCTTTGTGCTATGTTTTCATTGTGACCAGAACTGCTGTCAAATGATTTATTTGAATTTTTAAAGCTTTCAGCATAAGATGAAAACGTATCTATGTTTTCATAGTTTTCAATCGGTACCGTTTCATTGTTTATTTTGTTACTTGAAATACCAAAAGAAGAAAAGGGTTTAGAATTTTTATATGCAAGGCGCTTTTCTAATGTTGTAGTGCGAGGTGGGGGTTGTGGTGGCACTTTTGGTGTTTGGAAGATATTATCATTTCCTTGGTAGCTTTTAAAAGTCTGAAGACTGTTTGGTTGCAAAGACAGCCTTTTCTGTGCCACTGGCAGGTCTGGCAGTACTTTTGGAAAGTTTCGCCTTTTTATGGTCATTAGGGCTTCTTCGGGCGATAGAGGCTCAAGTTTTAATAACTCATCTCGTGACGTAACATTTACATTATTTCTAAATGTCACTGGAGGTAGTATATTTAGCCCCGAATTAAATTTTTCTTTCATTAATAATTCATAATTAATGTCGGTGACGGGATCAGAAGATGAATGCTTATGCGAAACCTTTAATGGATTATCTTGATTCAAGGATAGTGTTACTATGTTTGTGAAAACTTTATTTTCATTCTCTTGCTTAGCAAGTCCAATCTGAATTACATCAGTACTAAAATTACCCTCCGTCTTTGATCTCTGTAATTTGTTTTCTTTATATAAATGTGCCGACCCCTTACTATCGAAAGATTTTGAAAATTCGATTGGCTCTTGCTTTAGTATAGAGTTGGTGCGAGCAGCTGGAGTAGCATCAATTGCCACTGAAACTTTTTTCGATTTGATACTATCCGTTCTTTTACTTTTCATTGATTCGTTTGACTTTCCTGTATGTTTACTTACTAAGGAGTGTTTTGTGCTTTCAATTGAAGAGTGAGAGCCTAGTGCAGAGGTTGAAGTAGTTTTTTCTGAAGTTTTTGCTTTATTATTATCATAATTCGTGGGTAAAAGAATTTTAGGTATTTGGTTTTCATTCATATTTGCATCATCCTTATTTGTTTTTTTGGCTTCTGACAATAACTCTTCGGATCTCGTAAAAGGTTTTCTAACGCTTAACTTTTTGTCAGTGTTTAAATCCGAATTAGATTTTCTTAGAATATTAGGAGAACATCTGTGCATAACTTCATTAGTTATCCAATCCCTTACTTTTGTATGAGCATCTAAGGTACTAGTAGACAAATGTCTCCTTAATTGAAACCTTTCGCGGAAACCTCCAGAATCATCAGATTTTGGAGTTTTGGGCGGTTCCGATTTCTTTTTTACCTTTTTGCTGTTCGTACTGCCCCTCATTTTGCTAAAACCGATCGTTTTAATGACACTACATCCATTCTTAAGCGTTTGTAGAGCGCTCTTATCTTCCTTTGAACATTTTTGTCCAATTACATCCACTTCGCCGATATCGGCACGGGAATGTCGCGCCGGCTCAAAGGCCCTCTCCCGTAGCCGAATTCGCCGCTTCTTGATATACAATAAGGCGCATATTCCCAAATTAACGGCAACGAAAAGAATTCCGAGGGAAACGATTAGAGTTATAGTCGCGCTGGAAGTTTTTACTGGCATTGTGTTTAATGATACCGGCTTCGGAGTGGTACTGTAACTACCATGAGTGATTTTCTCAATTAGCCCAGGTGGCATGGGCTTTGATGGTGTTTTTATTGACTGTATTTCACGATATATCACATCGGTGTTTGGCCTGTGTTCTGGCTGCGCAAACGGTCGGATTCTACCATAAGAAGGAGAGTGGTAGTACGGCGTATTTATCACTTGGGGTGACCAAATTTTTCTCAATGGATCTAGAAAATCAACAATTTTGCTTCGTTAGTTGTACTTAGTAAATTCAAATTATCTAATTATATTGGTTTTCCGCAATGTCATAATTTAATTATGAAACTAAGCAAACGTTAAATCAATCAAATTTGTTTTTTCTATGTCGAATAAGTAATCCCTTTTTAATCCCTTTTTAATTCTTACCTGTAATTCTATGTGTAGGCTTTGGTTTTCCAGTCGTGGTTCTTGGAGTGTACTCGAATAAGGGGTCGACCACGTATCTTTTCATCTTATTGGGTAATGTATCTAACCAAAAACTTGTAAAGTTTTTTCTATACGAACTACTTATCGAAGGTGGAATGTCTGCAAAGTGTGAAGTAAATGATTACAAAGATTAACATACGTAGTTATATATAACTCATTATTACATTTTAAATTTCGAGATCTAGTCTTTAGGGCCTTAAATGTATGGTTTGATAATAAGATAAAAATATTTTTTTGGAAAGTTTTCACTTTGTCGTCGCGGATCTTGGAACCAATTCCCGCTGTGGGGAGTGTAAAATTTATATTTAAAATTAGATTATATCATTTCATTTCAGATTTAATATTTTAAAATAATAAGATAAATAGAGAGTTAATTTACCTAATTTTAGGAATGGCTGTTGCGCTTCGTTGTATTCGGGCCACTCGACGTTGTATTGCGTCCATTGCTTCCTGTCTAGTGTGTAGTATTCATTGACACTTTGCGTGTTGGGTGATCTATAATAAAATAATTATTATAACTGTGTTTATGAGATAGGTGAAAGGAATAATTATATTAGTTGTAATAATAAGATTAGTTGAAGCATTTTTAATTATAGTTGAATAACTAAACAGCTGCTGTTACTATAATTATAAATGAGCTTAGAAGCCATTCGACCTTTATCTAAAAACGGTTACTTATTTAGAACTTCGTATTTAAATTTTTTGAGTGTAATAACTGGTATAAAAATATTAATGGCTATGATGATTACGATGATAAAAAAGGAGGTGCTGCCGACCTCGGCTTATCGGTTATTATAGTATTTTATTTTCTTATTGATGCACCAACATTAATATTGTTCAACATTTGTGTAGACACTTTTGTAGACAGTCTAATGGCTAAGGATTCACATATAAATAACTTTATACTAAAATATTGCTTACTATAAAAGTTTAGTAATACCATTAAACTCGACGTTGTTACTTAAAGACGAGTGATATACGAAATTTTAAACATTTTTATTAAATGCTATCAATACATTTAAACTTGATCATAAAATTCATAAAATACGTATTTTATGACTTTTATGATCTATTTTTTAATATACTCTACGCTACTATAACGTAAATATTTTCCTCGTGGGCTTAAAAAAATGTATAGTTGCATGCATACAAACAGACCGATGGATAGATATTGATATTTACCCGTTCTTTACAAAGTTAGTCCACAGCCGCATCATAACCTCGCTGAGTAATTTCTCTTGTGGTGTATACTCTGTGTGGAAATGCGACTTGGCACCACCCAGCGGAATGCCCAACACGTATGGCATTTCTTCTCCGTGCACGCTCTTGTTAAGCTGAATCGTATATATTTAAAATTAGGATATTTAAAAAAATACAATATGACGTTTAATTTAGCTACTTATTTATACATTTTACTTATTTATTTATATATACGACCATCATTAATTATACATGATAGAGTATTTAATGTTTTTTTTTATTTAATTTAATAGATTTTCTATGCATAATATAAAAAAAATATTAGCATTCTGCACTTTTTCTGTATATAAACTATAAGTGTGGGAAATTTCATAACTCTGCGTCCGCGCAATTTTCGTAAAAAGGGGTACAAAGTTTTTGCTCCATGTATATTAATATATAGAAGATAATACTAACCCCACTATGGCATGAGACGTTATAAAGGCGTTTTACATAGAAGCAAAATAGCCCATTCTAATACTTGTCCTATGCGGTTATTAAACCATGATTTGATAAACTAAAGGTTAGCCTCCAGCTCGTTCGCCCCTTTTCACAATAAAAAAAATAGCAACTCAAATTTCTAAGCCATCGTCATGCCTTGGAAACTAGAGTTGCTATTTTTTTTTTTCACATCGGTGAGCAAATAGTTTGTAAAGAATGATAAAATTAAAAGCACATCCATCGATGCGGTTTGACGTTAATAGTTCTACGAAGTAAAGATAATAGCTTATTTGTAGTAAAAATAGTATATACATTAATATCTTTATAGGGTAAATACAATTAGAATATATATTTCACACTGAGGCGCCAAGCGTCTAAATATCAATGTTATCCCAGGCTACCGGCAGTTTTTAAATTAATAATTTTGTATCTGATCTACGCAGTAGGTGGTAATTGAATTCGCAAACAACAGGAGTTGTAATTAAAAATAAACGCGATGATGAGTCAAATATCGTATTCTAAGACCACAGATCGAGTGATTTGTGAATTCATCCTAGAAACGGAAGTTACTTTGTATGTGTAATAATAGCGTAGTCTTGAAACTATCAGTTTTAAGATACACGTGATTAATACATCGACTTTCTACAGAACTAATACTATTTAATATAAAGAATATTACAAAAATTAATCCAGAATTAAAATCTGAATATGTTAACAAAATGTCTAGCTTAGAAGATTAATATATAGTACCTTGCTCGGTTTGTTTTTATTATTTGGTAAATCGTGTTTTTTGGAAATTACATTTAGATACAAATTACTGAGTAATGAAATATGCATAACGTTTTTAGATCTTACCGACGTAATAATAAGAAAATATGAAGTGTTTTTCACAAAAGAAAGAACTTTAAAAAAAAAGGGAAAAAGTAACAAAATCATCTGGATCGACAAAAAATAAAGAAAGCAATGATCTGGAATCGAAAAAAAAAGTAAACAAATAAGTGTGTAAATAATCGTGAAACGAACCACGGCCTTCTGTTTTTTTTTCGGTGAACTTTACCGTCGTATTCGAATGATATTTTTCTTTCCCTGCAAATGGGATAAAAGGAAATTTTCTAAAAATGAAACATAGCCAGATCGATTTTTCGCTCCCGAATCTACGCACATACATATAAATTTCATGAAAATCGCTGGAGCCGTTTCCGAGATTCCGATTATATATATATATATATATATACAAGAATTGCTCGTTTAAGGGTATAAGATCATGAATATAAGATCATGAATGAACACCCAGCGAACTTTCTCATTTATAAAACTCGACATTTATGCTGTGCATGTACAAGTGTAATTTAAACTTTAGTTTCATTTTTGAGGGTCGATGGCAAATGAACACGCGCCCAACGTTATGTAATTGCCACCGCATTCACATCCGCAAAACTCGCGCGGCTAAATTTGCGTTGCTAACTTAGAGTGGCCCCTGTTACCTCGGCCTCCATTCGAAATTCAAAAGTACGAATGTTCCCCTTCTCGTCGGTCTTAATTGAGACCGTTGTACTTGCTTCAACGAGAGCGCCCATTTCCGCGAGATCAAAAGCTGTTTAGTGACTTTATAACGTCTTTTTTACCATAGCAGAGCTGTACGGCAGATTTTTTGCCAATTAGGTGACCTTATTGTAAGGTGGCAACGCATTTTCACACATTGAAAAAACTCAAGTACTAATAAATCTGAGTGAAGCCATGATAGCGATAAAGATCATAAAAAGTACCTTAGTTTTTCTAAAGTTATTTTTACGTACGAAACGTTGCTACTATTGATTTTTGAATACCTTAGTATTAGGCTTAGCCCTGAATAGGCTAGCACTGAAAATCAGCGCTGTGTTGGGGCCTTGACTTCCGGCATAGCATAATGCTGAGCTGCTAACCTAATTTACCGGAATAGGGCGTTTGCACGCTATTTATGGTTTGCTAAAGTTCTTTTTCATTTGTTTATATCTTAATTATGTATTTGTGTGCTGAATTATTTATAAGAATTTTTTTTTTCTTTTATTTTTTGTTAATTTTAGTTTTTTTTTCCCTTTTATTGTGTGCGTCCTTTTTTTTGGTAAATAAATGTATTTTCTTCCTTTCTTTCTTTCTTCTAGTTCGGAAATATTATAGTATATGAACATAGCTTACATGTGCGGTACTCCGTGCTGATCGAGTTATGTCCGAAAACGTAGAAATAAGATTGTCGGTTCGCTTTGGACTGGTAGTTTGCGAAGCTCATCATTGGAGAAAGGGTTCTGGCGTCACTGAAGAGGTTCAATATAACGTCACGGTTGGTGTCCACGTTCCAACGCTGCGGGTCCAGTTTAGACTTAGAATATCTGTAATGATATGGTGATTTTTTAAGCAAAGAAAATTAAAGAACCACATAAACAAGATCACTATAGATTTTATTGTGGTTTTTACTACTTATTATTAACTTAGTTTTCGTATCTTGTTAGTTTTTACCGTATATACCTATATAGTTTTAAAAAATATTCAAAAAATACTTATTTCAATATCGACATCCCGTATGGGGATCTTAAATGATCTTAAATATAACTTTTTTCCCTAGAAGGAAAACAATCTCGTAAAGCTTTTATCTAAATTAATCAGTTAGACAGCTTACAGCAATCGTTATAATTACTATTTCCTCAAAAGCAGCCTCCTGCTTGACCCCAAACTGCATGCTATACGAAACAGCTTTGGAACAACATAACAACATGCCATACGATACTTTTGAACAATCTGTTACTTACTGTTTGAGAATATCTTTCAGGGCTTCATCTTCGGCGCCATCAAATGTAATCTTTGTGTATTTCTTAATGAAATCGTCCCTTTGGTTTTCTAAAATTCCCTGATCTAGTTCTATTACGCCAAAATCGTGGTAGCTCTCCAACTCTGTTACCCCACTCAGTAATTGATACCTGAAATCAGTTTCATTACTGTAAATCGCAATAAAGTCATTGTCATTATAATATATTCAAATGGAGATTACTATACTATTAAGACAAAAATACATGGACAAATTGTTTACTCTTTCTTAAAACTTTGAACCTGACAGTTACTCATAGAATTCAAAACAGGAAAAACGCAATAAATGCAAATTGTTGAAATTCTCACTTGCTTAGTAAATTGGGAAAAGATTCCATCGTTTTATCCGGTTCATTCGGCACAAAATATCCCGCAACGGTGGGTCCAAGCGGTGTTTCAAACTCCCGAGCTAGTATTTGCACTTTCTTAATATCCGACAATCTGTAAAAGCAGCACAAAAACACACTTAAACTAAAATTTTTGTATGATTTTAATGAATTTTATTTAATTTTATATCCTAATTTCTCATGCTCTGTATAATACATATTAAAAAAATTGTCTAGATTTTCCGTGTTATTAGATATTAATTTTTTAGAGAGTCATATATCAAAAAGATTCATTTTACCTCACCGCTTACGAAATGGTAGGGTAGTCATACATTAGTGAGTTTATTTCGATGCTCACCGTTTGTTTTGTAAGCACGTCATCAGAGTCTTGGAAGTTGGATTACAACCAAGGCCTTGGGCGACCTGCAATGTGTACTGCGCCGGATCTTTAGTCATAGCCCAATCAGAAAGCGCTGATCCCGACATCAGTATTGCTCTATGAAACAGCGCTGGCAACAAATACGGTATTAAAACGAAATTATTAAAAAAGTAAAATATGCAGATGTATAATATGTCTTAAATTAAGTCGATTATCGAAGCCTGAAAACTCTTAGAACGATCGCAATAAATGTTAATAAATGCAATTAAAAAAAAAGTGCAAATTTTAGCAAATCCAGGAACGCCAAATTAACAACGCTTGCTAATTTGGCGTTCCTGTATTTGAAACCAGAAAAAGAAAAAGCTTCTTGGTATATTGGCTATTAGAGTTATTTCGAGAAATTAATTTATTATGTTTAACTAGCTGCTGCCGCTTCGACTTGACTAGAAGAAAGATAAGGGATGGTTATATTGATTTTTTATAATTTTTTGATAATAAATAAACGTATTTGCTTTATTTCTACGTTGGTGTGTGGCGCCAGTTAGATGATATAAAACAATATTTTCAGATTCACGCCCGGTTTCTGATTATCTATACGATAATAAGTGTAGATTATCGAAGAAGTTTACTAATCAGCTGTCGAATAGCTTTAACCATCGTTTTGGCAACTTAAATGAAATTTGAAAAGTCATTTCACAGTCAGCTGATTAGTTAACTTCTACGATGATCAGTGTTTCAGAAAGCTGCATCATTGTAGCAATTAATATAATAGTTAAAATCAGATTAGATGTTTTAGTTAGAGAGGTAGTTTTAGTGAAATATTCAGAATATGAAGAACTCATTTAATTACCGTTAGAAATTGGCGACAGCATAAGGAAGTTGACGCAGGCGGCCCCAGTTCCATGGCCCATGAGGGTCACAGAGTCGGGATCACCGTTAAGGTCCTCTATATTGTCCTTGATCCATTTCAACGCCGCCAATTGATCCAGCAATCCGTTGTTACCATACTCATGCTCGGTTAGACTTGGCTTCACGAAACCTGTTAATTAGTATTATTTTTTTTTTATTTAGAACTGGCCAGCACTTGACTGCCATCCCACCTGATGGTAAGTGGCGATGCAGCCTTTGATGGTAAGCGCGCTAGCTCAGTAAAAACCTATTCACTCTTGCCTTGAAGACGCCTACGTTGTAATCGGACGAAAAGACGGACGCCGGCAGGTTGTTCCATTCCAATTATTCCAAATTGTGAAAAAAATCTGATTCCGTATCTAATTTCCTCAGGGCTCCCAATCGACTTTTCCATTCAAATCCACATCAGTGTTTCTCAACTTGTTAAAAATATATATTCTTTTCAATGAAACATGACGAGTGCGTGTAGCTTTCATTTAAAAAGAAAATTTCTCGAAATAAAGATAATTCCATACATTTTTTGGGTCCTTAGACTATTAAAACCTCATCAACCACTAAGCCTGATTTCACGGGATGAATACGACGCTATCTAATAAGGGCGGAAACACCTACGGGCCGTAAGGGACGGACTGTTACCCTAACAGCCGTTGACTGTACTTAATACTCACTGCTTTTTGGGGCCCTACAAGTCATGAAACTTATGAAATAAGTCACAATACAAAGTCTATTGTGCATGACACACGTTTGCAAAGATTATATAAATATTACCAAATAGTATAATTGTTAATGTGCAGATTATGGTTAAGATAGCAATTTTATATATTAACATAATTTACTGTATTATGTAAAAAATTAGAATCAAGTGTTTGATTACGCAAAAATACTTTTCCTTTTGCTTCATAAAGGCTTATTCTATATTTGATTTTTTTAGAGTTCCGTCTTACGTTTTCTTTAGAGTTCCGTTTTGTACTATGTAGTGATGATACGGAATACTTTGTGCGCGATTCCGACTCACACTTGGCTGGTTTTTTTTTGTTTTTATAATACAGGCATTAATTTCTATAAATCTCAACAAAACGAAATAGTCTTCGGCTCGTAATTCGTAAGTTGACATTTTGAATAGAATAAAATAATAATAATAAATGTTTTAGGACACATTTATAAACAACGTTGTCTAGTCGCAAACTAAGCAACGCTTGTGCTATGGGTACTAGATAACTGATAAACTTACTTTTTTTTGTACTTAAATACGTATTATACAAACATAAACACACATTTAATTTTCTACATATTTTAACATAAACACACACTTTATGTTCATCACACAACATTTCCAGTGGGCATGGAACCCACACCCTCTGGCGCAGGAGGCAGACACTACCCACTACACCATTCGCGTCGTAAAACAATGGAAAATAAGACCTTACCCAGTATCCCCAATCGAAAATTCACGGTTATCACCATGATGTTGCCATACGCAGCCAGTATACGGCCATCGTACGGATTGCCCGAGCTCCATTCGAAAGAGTCGCCGTGGATGAATACCAACACGGGGAATTTCTTCGGTTTCTGTTCTGAAATGAAATATATATATTTTTTATATGAAAAGTTGAAAAGCGAGCAGACGGTTCACCTGATGTTAAGTGAATAGCTGGTTTTAAAATTGAGGGTTGACAACCTTTTGAAAATTGAGCTCCGGCCATCTCGATCACCAGACGAAACGCGAAAGTATTATACTTCCACTTTCCGCCGGTCTTTCTGTGTGGTCGTGGTACTTATCCGGACGAGCCTACCCATTCATGCAACAGCTGAGGCTGCTGCGTACCCACAGGGTAAACCGGGACTTTGCTACAGACAAACAAAACCTTTAAATATGATCTATATCTTTTGCCGCTATAACAAGAAATGTTAAAAAGAGAATAAAATATTTAATTGGGGCTCCTATACAAAAATTATGAATTTTTGCCGTTTTTATAGATGGTACGTTAAACTTCTTGCGTGTGTCCGTCTCGCACTTGGCCTGTTTATAAAATTACTAGCTTTTCGCCCGCTGCTTCGCTCCTGTTGAAGCCCCCAAATAAATATCTTGCAACCCTTTACAACACTTCTTTACAATTAAAAATAGCCCATGACCAGTCTCAGGCTCTAGGCTATTTGTGTACCCAATTTCATTTAAATCGGTGCAGTAGTTTTGGAGTGAATGCGCGACAGACAGACAGAGGTACTTTCGCATTTACAATATTAGTATGGATTGTTTTTAAAATGTTAGTTTTGTTTACACTTACACAATTTTCTCCCACTAGTTTGATTAGGGTATAAGTTTATGCGAAGAAAGCTGTGTTCACCTATAATTGTTGGAATATGTGCGATATTTTTTTACTTTTTTTTTAATATGCAATCTTAATGTATTCAATGTTGGCGAACCTTAATAGAATAAATAAATAAGTCAGTTTTGTTAATTAGGACATGGTATTCAGGTCACATGAAATGGAAATCTGGAGCATTGTTATAAGTGAACTCAAGCCTGATTGCTCTCGTCTACGTTCTCCTTTGATCATGATTAAACAATCAAACAACGATATGCATTAGCAAAGGAAACGTTGCTATTATTTTTAGACTCTTGTATGAGTGATCAATTTTTTATGTGAGAGTTGGCGGTTCATCTGATGTTGTGATAACCGACACCCGTGGAGATCTGCAACCGATTATGCGTTGCCAATTAATGCAGGAGATGCGTTGCCAACTTTTTATTAAGTGGGCCCGGTTAACTCACTCACCAGGCGAAACGTATAATTTTAACAATTCAACTTCACGCCTGTATTCTGTGAGCTCGCGGTTTACCCGGACGGACCTGCCCATTTGTGCGACAGCCGTGGCCTTACCACATTACGTAATGTATTTTGGTAAGAGAATGTAGAACTTTTTATAGACATTTGGTAATCTTATGAATTGATATCTATACATCCCAGATGGTTGTTGCTCACTTGTTATCTTCAGTCATCGCACTGAGCCGACGAAACAAAAAACTTAAATCACTTTATTGCCTTACGTATAACTTACTAGCTGTTTACCGCGGCTTCGCCCGGCCAAAGAGGATGAACGAGTTTTTTTATTATACACCAGAATATCGCGCAGATGGCTGAATTTTTTCCTACTAATTGGACACTTACCATTACCTCTATCTTGGACAATTCACACAATATCTCTATAAATTATAGTCTGTCTTATTCTGATGTATAAGCTCTATTATTGTAAAGTTTCATTAAAATCCATTCAGTAGTTTTTGCGTGAAAGAGTAACAAACATCCATCCATACATACAAACTTTCGCCTTTATAATATTAGTAAGGAAGTAAGGATAGTGAGGATTAGTGAGGATAACTAAAGATAATTATGCATTCTCAATCTTAAATTACATATAATACAATAAAGGTAAAAGGAAACGGCTCTGCTTGTGCTGACTTTGACTTTGAATTTTTGCACTTTGTGGCAGTCCTCTGTGAGAGCAGGACCTTCCATCAGAACGAGTCGAATGATGCCACAATGACTAATACTGTTTCCTCACAATTCCCATCTGCCAACGGTTGTCTTAAAATGGGGATGTCGCTCTTCTAACCCCAAAGACGGCAATTGACAGACGTTTAGTGCAAATTTCGTTCAAGCTCAACGCCGCACACTGTTTGCACTTCGACCTGTTATCGATATTAGACCGTCGAAGTTAGGACCCTCAAACATTTATTGCGGGCAAACATTTGACTGAAGTCAATTTCATAGGGGGGCTACTGGGAAGCGAAACTTCTTTGCTCAGTGGCCAATACAAATAGCGGTCGATTCGCTCCATCCGCTAAGAAACATTGTGCAGACGAAGTAGGGAGGTCTTCGTTATAGATAACCGTAATTGACGGATGGATGGTAATGGCTACCCATTTATTTGTCTTATGCCGATTCCTCCCTTGGTACATGATCAAAGTTGTACACAGCTAGTCGAATCAATTTAGTTTGTACCTTCAAACACAAATTGGTTTCTTTTGAAATTGCCTTCGCAGGGAGTGCGATTATTTCGTTTGAGAAAATAAAGATATTTTTACCCGTCAGCTTCTGAAGCAAGAGCTATGTTTTGTGAGGGTGTTAATATATTTTTTATTTTGAAGATTTATTTTTTATTTTATTTTTTATCATATTTATGGCTTACTTTGTAGCTTAAGCTTTATATGTAGCAATAGAAATTTTAATTTAAATCGTAACAGTAAAAGACACTGAAAAATTTACGGTTATTACCGAAGAGTTCAATTAAGATGTCGTTTCAGAACACTGAACGAGACTAAGAGATCCGTTCACTTCTAGTGGTTTCGCTGTGACTGGAATAATAAATTGATGCGTAAATTGACCGTAAAGCTGAATGTTTGGTTTGCACATTTTCCCTGTACCTGTTGATCTATTTGGTTGCTGAAAGTGCCAGGCATAAAAAATCGTCATAAGAAACTAGTTGCCAATCGAATAAGTGTTATCAGTCGTTAAGGTTGACTACATTAACAAATGGAGAGCCGGTTTCTTTGCTCGGTCATACTGCGAAAACTATTGAAGCGATCGGAATAATACTACTCCCAGGGTCGACTGGAAGAGAATCTTCTTTCTTTCTTTCATTAAGTTTTCCTTTTGTTTGTCCTTTGTGTAATCAATAAATTTTTAAATAAATAAATACTTACACGAGAGATAGATACTTATTCGGAGAAGTTTTTAATATATGAATTATATTTATTTCATGCAAATGGGCCGAGCTATTACAATTCGTAGACGATATCGCGAGCGAAGTGCTTTTTTTAAATATTTTCGTGTACTGTTGTGGAGTTTCTGTGTGAAGGATTCTAAAGGAGTCATTTCCTAAGCCGTATGTATACAACAGAAACGTTTTTAAATGAAGAATTACTTTCCAAATGAATATATACAAGCTTCAAAATCGTTCACAGCTCCACGGAGGCGTGAGGTAAACAAAAGTCAGTTGAGTTTTATAGTGAGTACATCTAATCGGAGAATTCGGCGGTGAGGTTTCAAAATCCCCCCATCAAAAGAACCTCTTTACTTGTGTAAACACGATTTGATAAGAAACCACGACATACTGCAATTACATGTAAGTTATATGTTGTAAAACTATTATGATGTAGTGACCATTTCCGTTTTACGCCTAATCGGTAAAAATAATTACAATATTAACACCTAACAGTTGAAAATTTACCCTAAACGGCGTTAAAATAACTTAAAATTTGTTATAAAACACAAGTAACATTGAAATTTAAACCTTTTCTGGTTATAAGTTTTGTTACATGTTTGTTGTGAAATTATTGACACATGTTTCTTTTTAAAGTAACCATTTATTCAGAAACCTTTAGTTTGTGTTCGGAAAGGCAATTTTATTTGAAAGGCTCAAGCTAATAACGAAGTCAAGGTAAAATGTTAAAAATAGTGCTAAAACGAATTTATTAGTGCTAAACTACTGGGAATAATGCTTTAGCCATAAAAATGCTAAATTGACAGCACTGTCGGCGCGTGCCGTGTGGAAATGAAAAAGAAACAACGCCGTGGTGGCTTTGATTTGGTTGTCGCTTAGAGTTAATATTAATAAATTAAATTAATAGTTACAAATATCTTACTTCAACCAACAGTTTAAGACAACAGACCCGGTAATTAAAATGTAGTAATTATACATCACTGATATTAATTTCATTAATATTTTTTGATTTATTATGTATATTTTTGGTTAAAATTTCACTTCTAAGGCTGTCCATGACTTTTTCCTATCGATAAAATTTATCAAGAATATTTTTGATAACAATGGCCCATTAGAATCAAAATAAGGATAGGTGCATGTATATTTTTCTGCTACAATGTATGGATTTTGTTAATAAGACCTTTGAAAAACCATTTTATTTGTTAAAAGGTCTCAATGTGTTTAATTTATGCTATTTATTGTAAAATAACAATTACAATAACAATAAAAATTTTACTTTTTGACTAATAGCGCCATCTATTGGCTTTGCCATACAGAGTTTTACAATTTTTAAATTAACAATAATAATTGTTCTAGTTGTATATTTTGGCTTACGTTTTATTAGTTAGTTCAAGGAAACGCCAAGAGATGACAAGACGTACTTTGCGTGAATTCTGCATAAATTTCAGAATAACAAATAATAAAATTTAATATTATTAAAGGACGTAATGGACAAAGGACTTTTTCGGAGTCTGTTGTTTTTAGCGACATCTATCGCTGCCGTATTGAACCAGTTATGCCTGGATGCCACTCCTGCTTCATTCAAGTAAAATCTCAAAGATAGTTCTTTCGAAACCATGTAACAGATAGCGTGGTTACTAAATGTATTTTTAAAATGATACTAATAATTAAAAAGTATTTAAATTCTTATTATCCTTATAAAAATACACATATAGTTTTGTAAAAGTTTTTTGGTTTTTGTCTCTACTGCCTGTTGTAAAGTAGTTTTACCTATAATTAAGGTACCACTCATCACTTATTTGTAAACCTTGTATAATTATTGTCACTGTGTGTACTTTGTTGGTGATAC